CAACCGGAAACGTCAAGCCCAAGCGCCAAGACCCAACCGTCAAGGCGTAAGCACAAGGGGCCCCTGAAGCCGGAGAATGATGGGGAGGAGGGGGGTGAAAGTATTCGTACCAACGCAGGAGATATGCCACAGATTTACAAGGCTGGATTTGCGAGTTATTGGCATCGTCACCGTCCACATCAAAAGGCATTACTCGTGGTTAATTCTCCTTCACCTGGTTGTTATGATAAATCGTCCCTCTTGTCCACAGGTCGTGTGTCCCTTTGCCGTTTGCATGTTAGCTTCCAAGGCTTGAATGAGATAAACGCCCAGCGTCTAATGCCGCCGTATTTTACACTTACTAGTGCAAATACTAGTATCTCTGCTCCCTGTCACCAAGATGTGTATTATTACGCGCCCACCAAGGGATGGGATCGAAATCGAGTCGAAGCCGCACCCTACCCGGCAAGGACAGGGAATTTACTTCACTTACGAGATTCGTGGGATATATATATATATCTATTTTCGGTAAGAAAATAAGGGTTGTGTAGATGGTGGCTGAAGATGATGATGTTGATGACTACGGAGTATGATTGCTTGAGTTCAGGGGGGATACAGAGACGTACAGCAGTGCTTCCTCACTCGTAATTGTGAAAACCCTTGGTGCATCACAAGCCAAACTCCATCAGGGCTAACGAATAAACACGAAACCTAGCATTAATATTTGCGGGTGATTGCGTCTCTTCGAGAGTGCATATATTTTAATATACTACGGAGTAGATACTGGGGGATACTGGGGGGGAAAGGGGTAGAACAAAAAGAAGAGCCTGTAGGAAACGGAAACCTTCTTCGGTGGGTCCCTGATTGTCGGTTAGAACTTACATACGCTGTACATCTGTACAGATTAGAGCGTAGAATGAGAAGGCGTTTATTAGGGCTTGGTTGGGCGCCATGGTGCTTCAATGGCTTGTTCACACAACGCACGGTTCAACGGATGGAACGAACCATGCAACGATAGGTAAAATGGATGGTAAAACAAATAATATGCCACAGAGAGTAGTTCGGCACATTGCACCTCGTAAAGGAAGGATTTTCCCGGAGGTAGAAGATAGCGTAAAACATTTAAAAACGCCATTTGTTCACCCCTCGCAGGAGTTGCATAAGATAGTCATAGAAATAGTTAACAGGTACTCCGTAGTTAGATTTATAAGGGTGAAAGGACATAAAAGGAATGTTTGCTTTCTTCGAAAGTAAGAATAGAAAAGTAGCGTGATCTATAAAGATAGATAGATATAACAAAGTGGAAAACATCCATCCCTTGAAACCTGCTTTCCTGTAGATGTTGCAAGTTACCAATAGCCCAGACGCCCGGTCCCTAAATAACAATGAGACAAAGATGCTGCTTTGTGGGGGATGAGGGAAACAGTAAAATATGCTGAACGCATCATTTCGCCAACGTTTATAAATAACAAATAGCTTCTATAGAGAGACAACGCAAAAACAAAGGTACATGTATAGTACATGCCTCACTTGGCATCATGCTTGTATATGATAAGGAGGTCAGCTTTTCCAGCGAATTAGGCAAACGAATGCCCACTACTCCTAGCTGACAGGCCGCCCCAAAGACAAATAGAGAAATGAAGCAAAAATGAAAATTGAAGCACAGTGTCAAATTACCATTGGCCAAGACATCCCATGGGCCATTCCCTAATACAAAAGAAGCAGCTAAAATTCGTAGTTCGTGTGTATTAGAGCGGGAGACAAAGTGGAGCCACATTCCCAGCCAAAGAATGCGCATAACATACCCTTTTCACTGGTGATTATTGCCGTCATTGCTACTGACCACACTGCCAACTTCAGACCAGCTCGCTGGTGTGTGTATATCATCATGGATGGATTCTAAATCACTCAGCGTCCTATCGGACATTGACTCCAAGGGATCATTTTGGATATGACTAAGGCTTGACGCGACTGAGGGCGTTGAGGAGACTGATTGAATAGTATGGCTTTCCTGCTGGTCCACGAATGGATTTTCGCTCTCGTATTGCGGAAGCTGCATTGCTGTGATATTTTGATCAGGTTGAGGGGGGCGGGCGTAGTAGAAGTCCGGCTCGCCATCCCCTGTATTCTGTGATGAGGCGAGTGAGAAATAGCTAGATTGTGAAGTGGGGTCTTCTTGCTGGCTCTGGCCGTGGCCCTGTATCTCGCTGTGTGCGGACCAAGCAAAGTCCATGCCTGGAGCTTCCGAGGTCGGGGTAAGATCAACTAAAGACTCCGAAGGATGGTGAGAGGAAGTCTCTGAGTCGGGAGGTCTATCTATAGCTTTAAGTAATGTCTGGCGATATTCAGCCAAAGCCTTCCCAGGAGCCATCTCGGATATCGAATTGGACAGATCAGAGAACACTGCAGGCCGCAGATGAACTGTATCCGAATTTGTAACTTGGACACCTGAGGCTTGTGCTTGCGACTCGCCCTCCTTGAGCAATGGCTGTTGACAATGCTTGGATGGCGCTTTGAGCCGCCCGTCTTTGTCCACAAGATTATCAAAGCTGCCAACCGAACCTGAAGCAGACTTATTTTTTCTTGCTTCAAGGACCGACGCTCGTCGCGAGATTTCAGACCGGGCTTTCTGACGTCTAGCCTCAGCTTCGTCGCTCAGTTCTTCACTCATAGATATGTCCTCCGCCGGCCTGCGGTCGGTGGAACGTTCTTGAGGATTAATCTCATCCCCAAGATTGTGCAGGGCTATTGCAATCCTCCGTCGGGAATTTCGAACCCATTGTTTCACTTGTGGGTTTTCGTATACCGCATAACCAGCGGCAAGGAGGATGGTAACAGTGATCACAAGGCCTGAAACGACACACGCAAATAGAATTAGAAAAGGTAGCCTGCAGATAATAGAATTTTGATAGGATAAAGGATTATGTGCTATGGGACGCTATATGCTCTCTCCATATTATGATGAGGGGAGAGCGGGGATGGCGGGGGTTGGACCTGGTGCACAAACCTTTAGCTAACGGAGCAGGCATTTCGAGTTCTGCTGCGGGATTGTTCAGATCAAAATGGATTCCCATATAGTTGGAAATACCAGTGGTGTTGAGACGTCATGGGATAGAGAGAATATACGTTTCCATCGGACGGAGGACGCGGAGACCTTCTGAGTTATGCTGCCTGGTAAACTCATCCGAATGACGACGTTCCTATCAGGCTAGCGTTGAAATCCGAGCGATGCGGTTGCCAGCCACGTGATATATATACAGCGGCTGTAAACATTCTTGTTGCGGAGCTCAACTTCATCCCCACAGCGTCTACTCAATTAAAACCTGGTTACATGGTGTTTGAGAGCAACGATGTCACGCCCTAACCCAGCCCAACGGAGCCCTTTTCACTGACTGAGGAGCTGGAGAGACTGGAGCAGTCCATAACATTGACCCTGCAAGGTATAAACCTCCTATCCTCGAAGCCAAACGATCTCATTAACTAACAATTATAGATGCGACTTTGTAGAGATTGGATCACAATTTCAGTCGTGCTCACAGAATCGTCACCACAAGCATTCTCCCAACTGTTGAACAATATGCTGAACAGTCTCGAGAAGTATGGGAGGGGTCGAAAGTGGGTCATCCTGACACATACTGCTTTAATGCAAAGCTCCATTTCACTGACAGTCAAATTAAATAAATAATTCTAGATCTGGGAAACAATATCTTCGAGTCCAGTTGCT